AAATAACAAAAATAATTGCCCCTGAAAAGGTACCCTAACCATTTATTCTTATTTGTTATTTTTCTAAAAGTATAGAGGTTAACATAAATGATTAATTTTAATAATAATTTCAGTATTTAAATATTATTATTAAAAATAATATTTTCGATAGGTATACAAATTTTAACTATATTATTCATTTAATAATTAGCAAACATTCAAAGTTATTGAATCCCAGATTATATTTTCTTCTCATTCAATGATTCCCAATGGAGTGACCCAAGCAGCTTTTTAATTGCCTATTGATTATTAGCAAGATTTAGAGATTTAATTGTTTTTTCTAGCCTAAATAGACCGGAGAGGAAGAAAATAAAATTTTGTTGTGAGATTATAAATGATAGCTTATTATAAGATTCTTTTTTTTAAAATCATTATATAACATTGTGGTTTAGCGAATATAGCACCCGAAGGCCCCATACTTTTTTAGAGGGGGGGGGGTTTAGGGGTAGATTTTGTATGTGGGTTTGCCTTTATCGAATTTTCTGCCACGTGGACGCTACTTTCTACCGTTCTCATTTGTATTCCTCAAATTTTATATCTTTATTGCTATTATCAACGGATCGCAATATAAAATTTGAACAAAATATCGGGTAAATAATTCTCTTTTCCACTCCGTTATTTAAACTTAATAACAATCCTATCAATAATAATCACTTCTAAACACCTAACCAAGATCGGACCTCTACTTATTTCTCATTTGAGAGCTTGGAAACTGTTCTCATGCTCTGTCTCAAATCTGATTTGCGTCTTTACAGATTAGGAGGCCATGCAATGCTTTCGAATCTAAAAATAAACAATGCTAATAATCAATCATCTCGATAATAAACTGGAGCTCAGCATTATTCTTTCCTCTAGCATTTTCAAGATACTTTCTATATTTTTATATATCTAGGTTATTTCGTTATCTTTAACTATGACTTAAATAATTTATTTCTCTCATCCCAAATACATTTTTCTTAATGTTCGCTTTTAGTCCTCTGGCAATTATTCTTTTAATACTATTAATCATAATTATTGATTATATTGGTCTACTTTCAAACAATCATTCCTTGAAACACAGCCATAGATTCTAAAATATTTGCCCCGACAAGCTTAAAGAAAATTGTAATCTTAAAAATTTAAACAAACACGTTGGCTTATATACATTAACTTTCCACTTATCTCCTTGCTCCTTCAGCTACAAATATTTGCTGCTAAGATCTATCTTTGAAAACCATATTATATCATCTTGGCTAAGATCTCATCTACTCTGGACAGCGGGTACTTCACCTTAACCAGATAAGAATAGGAATTGACTCAAAAATTCTCACATAAGGTAATATACCTGTCTTGCGTAAGAACACTAGCGATCATTGGAGCGGGGGGGGGACAGGGGGACAAATCCCCCCCCATCCACAAAGCTAAAAAATGCAGATGCCGGATATATTTTACAAAAATATTTTTGTTTAGAATGTTGTGCAGATTTAATTTAAACATTTCCATATTTTTTAATTCGTTTGTAAATAAAAATTTTAACTTGTAAAAATTGATAAGAATATATAAATATGTTATTTTAACAACTTTTTACAAGTCAAATAATTTTATTTTCAAATAAATTAATAAATATGGAAATGTTTTGAATTAAATTTACACAGTACTATATTAATTTATATCTGTTAATATTTATTCCTATCTCATATTAAATATATATTTAATTACATTTATTATCACATTCATCACTAAGTTTATCAATTAATTTTGATTTCAAGTTTTCCGGCGTAATTCTTATTATTTTCAAATTTTTAGTGGCGTAATATTTATCTACCATTTTTAAATTTCTAGCCAAATAATAATTATTCTGAAATTGTCCAACAGGGAGAAAGAAATTGCAACCTTGTCCTACGAGATAGAGTCTCCGCCATCAAGCAGTAACAGCTTTTATGGAGTTAGAAGAGTTATTTGCTATTACTGACATATCACAATAGCCTGAAAGAAATTTTTCCTTAGAAGCAAGAAAATTATTGGATTCAATGCTTATCCCAAATTTTTTTTCTTATTAGAATGTACAACTATTTTATGTATTACTTTTCAAAAACATGATGACTTGAATAAGAAGATGAGAATAGCGGAGAGCATTTTATTAGAATTCAAGGAAATTAGGGCTAATGTTTATGAAGAATTTCATATTTTATATGTTATTGTTAAGTCAAAAGCAGAGCTATACGTGTTTAATATTTGTCTCACTCGACTTGCAGCAAGGCAAGCTCAGAGTTAAAACATTAATATAGGATCAGTAGAAGAGTATATCTTAGATACAAATACATTTATAAACCAAATAAATGAATGGTATTTAATTCATTATGCAGCACTTACCAATCTGCAAATATTATTTCCATAAATGCCTTCCCAACCGCAATAAACTCTTAAAACCAACGATCTTTTATCCAAAAAATGAAATCAGAGATATGCAGAAGTACCATTTGTACGGCCCGCCCCGGATTTTTAAAAATTTTCCCAAGCACGGATTTTATATTTTTAGGCCCGACCCAGGTATTTTTAAAAAATTTTTGGTGCCTGCCCTATGGTGATAGGAAAAAAATATTTGTTGGATTTTTATCATGAAGATGTTAAAGTATCTTATGATGCCTTATTAGCTGAATAACCATGTTTATAAGATTAACTCTGGTTGATACAGTCCCAAAAAATTCTTTGGATGCTCTGCATTATTTCAAACACATTTTAGATTATATTCCCAATGTATTAAAAGGGTTTATATATTAGCAACTCTTCCCAATAGTAAACTAATGAGAGAACATTCTCTTTTTTAAGAAGAATAACAGAGCCCTGCAGAGGTATCATTTGCAGGGCACGACCCAGATTTTTTTAAAGATTTTTATGGCTAAGCTCATTTTTCAGGCCCGGCCCGGCCTTTTTTAAAATAAAATTTTCAGGCCCGACCCGGATTTTTTAAAAATAAATTATATTTATTTTTGATTTTTATAGCTAATAATAACGATTTCAAATATAGGCTGTTTTAAAATATACAGTCCTGCCCGGATATTTTTTTAAAAAAAATTTTCATGCCCGGCCTAGATGTTTTTTTTTAAAAATTCAGGCTCCGCCCGGATGTTTTTTTTAAAAAATTTCGGGCCCGGCCATACGGTCCTGCCCGGGAGCCGGGTCTGCAGATCTCTGAAAAACATAGATAGAAGTACAACTTTTGAAAGTAGATTGAAAGGTTTGGATCTTTTGAATATTCATAGGCATTTGACAACAAGCAAGGATGAGATAATTGAAAAATTACCTCAATCCCAACGAAGATTGGATTTTACATTGTAAATATATAACATACAAAATAAAATTATTCCCTAATCTTTTTGTGTATAAATTTATATTTCTAACATTTAAATTTTTATACTTTATATATAAATTTTAAAGCTCAAAAAATTTAAATTTCTATTTTGGGTCATTTAAGTGATTCTTTACATATAATTTTTTTATAATTCACATTAATTTAAAATTGTGTATTAGAAATAGTTATTAGTCCTAATAAATTTATGCTTGATATTTTTAAAAAACAATAATATTTCTTAAGACCAAATTCCTGCGTTCGCGCCTGCTAGCGGTGTAGCCCAATTGCTATACATTAATGGTCTTATTATTCCTGGTGTTAGCCATAGAGCTGACCCTTGATTTACTTCTCTCTTATAATGATATGGGATGCGTCAATCTGATCAATAACATAGTGTAATTGTTTCCTCTTATTTTTACATTTACTTCAAAATCTTTCAAAGTTCCTAACTCATTTTTAAATATTGATATATTGGTAATATTTTTGTATCTTTTATTGCCTGCTATTATCGATAATTATATTTTTTCCTGTTTCTATTTTCAAAGTGGTTGCTATTATTGCTACCTTCGCTCTCTTCCATCTTTTGCTGATTATATATTAAGTCACTTATTTTACTATACTTTCACTCGGTCTCTATTCTATCGTTGGAAATTTTTTTTTTCGATTTACATAACTCCATTAAATTTATTCCACCAGTTATAAAGTGGTCCTATAATTTGTCTATTAACCCAGCTTGATATCAGTTATTCTAATTTTTCTATCCCACAAAGATATATTGCTAATATTGTCTTAGGGTTGAATTTGCAATTCTCTTAACTTTTGTTTGGTCCTCCAATTTAACAAATGCCAGTCTTTATAGATATAATTAGCTTTTTATCAGGTCAGTTTTTCAATCATGGTCACTCATCTTTACTTACTAAACTGACTCCGGATCCTATGTTTAATAAAAATTTAATCAATAGGTCTTCTTTTATATTCTTAACAGCAACGCAATCTCCGATTCTGTCTATCTACACATATTTGTTAATATTATTGAATTTGCCTTTTATAACTTCTTAGGTTCTGATCTTATTTTATATTTGGCCTCATTGGCATGAAATTTTAACACTCTCTCCTACCATTGATTTGCAGAAAGACAGAAAGAAAAAAAGAAAGAAAGAAAGTAAAAATTTTAGATATTGCCATATGTATTGTTTTTTTTTTCATCATTAGAGTTTTATATTGATAAACGGCACAATTTTTAAAAACCGCTAACCTGATATTTTAGCCAAAGAAGTCTCGGGATTTTGTTAATAAATGTCAAAACCTTTCTTCCATCTATGAACAAAATCTTCAGGCTTGCGTAATATTTATGACTAAAATATTGGGCTAACCGTTTTTAAAAATCGCCCCGTTTAACAATACTATTTGCGCTTAATAAGAGGTTTTAATTATAGAAGGAAAAGAACAAATTTTTTATTCTGAGAGGAAAAATTGAAAGTCGTTGGGATGCAATTACTTTTGCATATCATGGATACAAGATTAAATGTTTAAACGGTATATGATATATAGCGTAATCGGTCATGAATTAGCACATACCATTTTGTATAGAATATCTCTTGTTAGGTGCGTTTTTTAAAATGCTAAAACATTTTCAGCTGATAATTTTTGATTCACGCCTGGGAAATAAAGAAGGAAAAGTTAAGTTTTTTGCATATAAATATGTTTTATCTAAATAAATTTTATTTAATGTAAAATATGATTCGATAAAATATTAAAAAACATTTTTTGAACATTAATTCTTGATTTTCTTAAGTATATTTTTTACTAATTATGGAATATTAATGTGATTTTTTCAAATTTGTGTAGCAACATGAAAAAATACTATACTATTATCCCAAATATGATGTCGATCATCAAATAAAATATGTTGGCTTGTGTGATGCCTTTATAAAATTTATGAATGCATTTGGAAAACAACAAGACTGTAAATATATTATAACCATGGATTCCACATATGTATATTATCAATTTGAACTTTCACTTTGGGTTACAGTGGTAATAAAAATAAATTTATCATCTAATTAAATATATACTTCTAAAAATTTGTTTTAACAATTAATTCAATAATATGTAGTAAAGATAAACAGTTGAAGATATCAATAATAATATTTTTGGTAATATATTTTTTTTATTTAATCACATATTCACTTCTCTAAATTTTTAATGCATTCCTAAAAAATTGGAAAATATCTTTTTATACTAAGTGTTGTTTTAATTTATTTAATTATCAAAAATTATTAATGATAACAATTTTATTTAAAAATAAAAGATTATCCAAAATGTTCAAAATTGTTTGATCAACAAAGAAGGTATGTTATCACTACTCAAGAAGACTTTATTTGAATTTAAAGTAAAAAATATATATAATTAAGGAAATGTACCAATACCAAGGTAGATACCTTACATTATTAAGCTGCTATTAGCAAATGAATTTTTACTTCCACCTTTAAAATTTCCACACCAGTGATAAAGTGGTTTAAAATATAATAAGGAAACAGTTATCCAATCATCCATTAGATATAATATTTTTCTAATTTTTATTTTATCTTTTTATTATGGTTAATTATTAGATTTTTATTATTTTATTTAATTTATTAATTATATTCAATTTAAATTTACAATCTTTATGATTAATGAAATATTAAGTATTTAATATTATGAAATATTTATAATTGTAATTTGATTATTGTTCCTATTTGTGACAAAAATAAAACTTTACTAATAGTTTTATATTCCTTTCAACCTGGCCTACTTTTGAATCACATATATTTTTTTACTTCTACTACTTGATGATGGCTTGTAATTTATTAATTTAATTATAGATTCTTTGTAGCTTTCTGTATTATATGCTTGACTAACTCGATATTTTGTACACTTAATTTGTTAGTGGATCACGAGGATGACCATTTTTCAAGAGCTTTTGATCAGTATATTAGTGATCTGCATCGGGCCTAATTTCTAATTTTTCAAGCCCAGCCTGGCCCAAATTTTTTTTTAAAAGGTTATGCTGGCCCGGCCCGAACACGAAATTTTTTTAAAAAAAATTTACCGGCCTGGCCTGAATATATGAAATTAATTTTTATAATTACTCAAAATAAAAGACATATGTTATATGGCGTTTAGTTTCAATAAATAAAATCAAATTTTTTTATTTTACATAAAAAATTAAATATAAAATTGATATATTTAGAAAAATTTCCAAAGACCAACCCAACCCGGTCCAAATTTTTTTAAAAAATATTGGGCCCGCCCGGCCCGAACCCGATTATTTTAAGTAAAATTAGGCCCGAAGCCCGGCCCGAAGCTCGTTCGGATTGGACAGGGCCTAACTGCAGATCTCTACAGTAAATCACCTGACATTCTGGGAAATTTCTTAGTGGATACCTATATCTCCAAAAATATTCACAATCTGTGGAAATAATACATGTTGTTAAGTATGTGTACTATCGCCACTATTTTTAAATCACATTATGAATAGAGTGATAAAAAAAATGTTGATAAAGGTCGATAGATGATCTATGCCTTATTTTGGAATCGAAGTAAAATTACAAATTTTAGCTCTGAAAATGTTCTCCTATTTTCTAAAGATACGCATGTTTAATGGTTATGTCAACTCTTCCTTGTGGACTGGAAGGTTGGGATGACAGCGGACGAAGCAGAGTAAGACCAAAACATTTGTAAATAATTGTCTCCATTATATAACAAAGACATACTACCCGTACTATACATCTAATCTGGTTATTTGGGAAAAGGACTAATTTATTAACAAGTTAAGCTTAGAAAAATCGAGTTACTTGGACATATATAAAATTCCGGCAAAATTCAAAAGATCTAATAATTCAGCCAATAAATTACGAACCTTCAAATGGTATTCTTTTTGTTGTTAATAAATTATTTTATTATTAATTTATATAAAATTTTTATCGCCGGCTGCCATATTTGAACCAAAATAAATGTTTTTAAATCATTTAAATAACTATCGAAGGAAAAATAAAATAATTTGTAAATTTTGAGGTTTAATATATATATATATATTATAAACAAAATATTTCTTTACAATAACTAATTATTATGGTACGGGTAAAAATTTAAAGTATCTTGATATTGGTACATCTCGGATTATTTAACCCCATGATTAGGGCTGTTAAAAATCCCGATTCGGGTCGATTTTTAAAAACGGCCGCATAAGATTTTAGCCAAAGAAATATTATGTAACCCTCAAGATTTGGGAAATAGAGCTCCAAACCTTTCTGCCTTCTATGTTAAATTTCCAGTCTTACCTATTTTGATTTTTAAAAATTGACCGTAATTGGGCTACTTAACAACCCTAACTATGATATTTAAATTACTCCATCGAATGTTCTTCACATTTTTAAAAATTTTTTTGACATTTTTGCTAACTATATTAACTAAACATAAACGATCAAATAGTATTTAATATTAATTTATAAACGTATTTTATATAAAATAAAGCTGCTATATGGACCATTCCAGAGGTTATGTTGCCATCCCATTGATACAGAGGGCCAAAATTTTTTAGCGTTCAAATTTCTACTGGAGAACTTTTTCGATAAGGTAACTTCGATATATTTTGAAATGATTACTTTATAAATGGGCCATTCCACGTCAAATCGATCACGATTCGACCGACCCCTTTTAAAATTGTTAAAAATTTCTGGAATTATTTAGAAGGGTAAATAAATGAGAAAGCCGTTTATTTTAGCTCTCTAGCACACATGGTTCTCGAGATATAGGGGCTCATAGGTACAAAAAAGAGCCACTTTGGAATCTGTAAAATTTTTAAAAAGCTTATATCTCAAGAACTATTTATAGTAAAAAGATATATAATATATCATATTGTAGGTAAAAATAATCTCTAAAAGGCTATCAAAAAATAATAAAAATTGGCGCCAATTTGAATCTTTAACTTCCGGTTTATCTATAATGCTTTACCTGTATTTTTAAGCAAAAAAGGGAGTTTGTTTTCGAAATTTTTTTATTGCTTTTTATTTAGACACCTTTTATAAATATATATACGATGTCAAAACTTTGGCGACGCTATCGACTCCAAAAATTTAAAAAAATAATAGATGGCGCTTTATGAAATTACGGATTTTGGTTAAAATTTTGCTGCAAACTTATCAATAAACGGATATTTTCACTTTTTATACTAAAAATATTTTAAATTTCTATTAAATATACTAAATAAATTGAGGGGCAGTGTGGGTAAATGCCCATTAGACACTTAATAATGTAATATATTTCCAATAATAAAATCTTTTGTATAATTTTTTTATTATTCATTCATATTAATAATATAGAAATATAGAAATAGAGATAGACAATCATATTCATTCCATAATTTAAAATTTGTGAAATGTTATATTTAATATTTGCGATTCTGTTGAATTAGAATAAAATTTTGTTTCAATTTTATCCTGAGAAATTGGATAAAAAGCATGAAATTTTTGCGTCCCTGGTATAGTACGGGCTTTGTCGAATCTCTCTTTTAAAATTATTTGTTCTTTCTCATATTCATCTTCCATAATATAGGAGAACTCTATTCCTTAATAAAAAAATTATAATATATATATTAATAAATTATAAATCATATACCTTTTATATTTTCCTTACAATAGGCAAAAAACTCTTTAGGAGAAGTTATTTGTTCTGAAGTAGGTCTTTGTAAACTTGCTCTAGCCACTAAACGCTTGACGGTACCTCCGACCCCGTCACAAGCTGATTTGCCATGAGATGTAGCCCAGAAATGCCACTCAGCTTTTATCTCGAAATCATATTCATGGTGGCAAAGATTGATTAAATTTTTCCGATTTTTATATTGAGCTGCTGCTCCATCTGAAAAATAGAAGAATTTTTTTGGCAGGCATTGAAATTTCTTTGTTAAGTATTGAACTAAATATTTTTGGAATATATGAACCGCAATTGTATTATGAACGAGAGATTCAGATATTATTACGAAACTTAAATGATTTAAATTATTAAGTGACTTGTAATAAATGACAAAAGGATGAATGGTAACTTGAGATTTATTCCAGTGAAACCCCTGTACTTCATCTTGAACCACAAAGGCATAATTTTCAGCAAAATCTGCCTGCACGATATATTCTCCTTCCTTTAAATTAATTTTAAGAGAATTCATGAATATTGTTTGCTGCTTTGTTATGAATGAGTGTAATAGTAAAATATTTAGCTTTTCGAAAAGCGTTTCTAAAAAATTAAAGGTTGATGAAGTGATAGTTAAAAGATCTGTACGATCTGTTGTTACCCATTGCTTGTAGGTAATATATTCGATATCAATTGAATATAATATTTCACTTATCATGGCCTTTAAATTAGAAGATCCAGGGCATTGAGCACAATCACCAAAAAAACATTTTGGTAATGCTGGATTACAAATTATTTTTGGTAATATATCCTTATATGTAATCTTAATTAAATCTTCATTTAAAGTAATTTTGGGCAAACTCAACAGCATTAATTTTGTGTTTTGATGAATGGAGCAAACACATATTGAATGGGTACCACTACTGCCAACAAATACACAATTCTCGGGACGAAGATCACAAAATTTAGAGAATCCAATTTTAATATTTGAATGAATATCTTTAAATTTAAGATATAGCTCTCGTAAATTAATTAAAATTAATCTTTTTTGGACTTGAATCTTTTCACTGTTCTTTATTATGGTTACAAAATCCCTTTTCCCAGGCATCGATCTACTATATTGATCATTGTTATAAAAAGATTTGACAATATCAACGGTGGCGGCATCTATTGTTTTGCCGGGTTTAGGATTAGGTGTTGAAAAAAACCCCTTTTCTTTTATTAAATTTTTAGATTTTATCGCCATATGATATGAAATATTGAATTCTTCTATAATTCTTCTTACTGTCCAATTTGATGGTAATAATGTTAATAATCTATATTTGTTTGTTATCGAAAGCTGTGGGAAATTGATTTTTAAGGTATCGAGAATTTCATCGAATTTTTCATCATTTGATGAAGATAATGGTATAATTTTAGTCGCTAAAACTTTTTTCACGCTAGATATTTTTTTCTTTGGATATTTCTTTTCACGTAAGCGTTTTATTTTAATGGGAGATTCCCCAATTGATTGTAGGGATATATTAATGTTTTCAATTGCCTCTTGATTAACTATATGAGGAGGAGAATCAATATCATTGTCATTATAAGGAAGCTTTGCTAATTTTTGTCGGCATGAAGAGCATATTAGCATATTTAAATTGATTGGTAAATTTTTTTTGGTCATCCAAGGTTGAATCTTTCTTAGATTTTTGCGATAATATGCATGTTTTTGTAAATTAAATGGGTTACAACATCTTGATATTTTAATATTTGGTATATCCATCTTTTATATAGAATAAAATTTTATTTAATTTGAACCTAGAATATGGCTTGTTTAAAATTAATCTGATCGGAAAAAAAATTATATTAAACAGAAAGAGAGATTGTTTTAAACTTTTAATTTTTTAAAATATTATTATCGTAAAATATAATCGATAATATGTCTAATATAAATTCTTTTTTAATGCAGCTGTTATACATTATCGTGCCAAAAAGTCATTCGCTGTTATAGTAGTAAAGCAGAGATCTAAAATATGTAAAAAAATTTAAGGATGGTGGGGGGGGGAGCAGAACTGGAAAATTTTATCGCATTTCTTATAAACTTATAAATATTTTCATTTTTAGAAATAATATTTTTTTAAACATTAGCGCCATCTATTTTTTTTACGATTTTTGATAAAAATGTATATTTTGGAAGAGTCGATAGCGTCGCCAAGGTTTTGACATCATACATATATTTATAAAAGGTGTCTAAATAAAAAGCAATAAAAAAATTTCGAAAACAAACTCCCTTTTTTGCTTAAAAATACAGGTAAAGCATTATAGGTAAACCGGAAGTTAAAGACTCAAATTGGCTTCAATTTTTATTTTATTTTGATAGTCCTTTAGAGATTTTATTTACCTACAATATGATATATTATATTATATTTTACTATAAATAGTTCTTGAGATATAAGCATTTTAAAAATTTTACAGATTCCAAATTGGCTCTTTTTTGTACCTATAAGCCCCTATATCTCAAGAACCAGGTGTGCTAGCGAGCTAAAATAAACGGCTTTCTCTTTTATTTCCCCTTCTAAATAATTCCAGAAATTTTTAACAATTTTAAAAGGGGTCGGTCGAAAATGGGCCTTTTTTGATCGATTTGACATGGAATGGCCCAAATGTAAAACGCCGGATACTAAATTTGAGATAATTTATTAAAAGGACAAGTAAATCAATATATATAATGATTATTGAAATTTTATTAAGTAGTATAATTCGTTATTGTAAAGTTTGCTCAAAACTTATCCAACAATGATTATCGCCACGTTTCGCCCCCACAATTGATGATAGAAAGTTTCAAATACCCCGAGCGAGATAATTCCTATCTCCCTTCTCGCGAACCCATGCAAAGAGACTCCTTCTTGGAACTCCAGTCCGATTTGGCGTCGTTCGAAGCGATTTATCAACTCAAATCGGGTTTGCTTTACACCCTATTTTTCAAGCGTCATAAATCCGTCATTTGGACCAGTTTGGATGAGGGAGAGGAGTTTGGCGCAACAAATAACGAAACAAACATCACTAATACTATCCCTAATTTATCAACGACCGTTTTATTAGATTACCTAAGTCGGGTATCGCAAACAGTTTCGCCTCACCATAATTCTGTCAGCGAAATGCAATATGCCTGTGGCAGTGGAGATAATAGGGATTTCATGGTGGCTAGCAATGATCGAATGTTAAATGGCAGGTGAAAAACTGATTTATTATCTCATTTTAAGAAACCCCTAGCTTATTATTTTTTAATATTAATTTTAAAGTATATCTTGTCAAATATTTAAGAATAAAATAAACTTAAATAGGCATAGGTTGAGTAATTTCTGCTCTCCCTTTAGTTTTTTTTGAAATATAGCTCAACTTTGAAAACAAATCATAAATGAACTCCTTTCTTAATTCTTACTAGCCGATTTTCTCTGGGACGCAGCGGATAGATTAACTCGCTATGATAATTAAATCCAACTCAATTTTCTAAAATGAAATCCTATTAAAATTTGATTCAAACCTATAAAAAGACAAGATTTATGGTATGATAATTTTTTTCTTTCATGTTTAGCCATAAAGGTGACACCCGATTAATTAAATAGCTATTTTTAAAGAAAAATTATGCGCCTATACTTTACGATTTTTGTTTTAAATTTATTTATAGTCCTGTCTATTTTTTTTGCTGGAAAGTCATATCTTGTGAAAAGTAAATTTGCTTTAGACATTGCCTTAAATCAAAAGATTAACTTTAATTCCTACATAAAAAATTTCATTTTCTCTCTCCATTTACTTTATATATATAGAGCCCTGCAAAGCTCGAAATTTTATGCCTAGCTAGGGATTGAATTTTTTTTTACATTTTCAGGCCCGGACCGGATTTTTCAAACCGACCCGGATTTGTATTTTTGATTATCATTCAGTTGGGCTCGAAAATTTTTGAAAATTTGTTAGTAGGATAATTTTGCTAATTGTTACAGAAGGAAAATCGATAAATATGAGCAATGGAATGAATATTAAACGCTCCCATTATATAATTTTTCAACAAATTAATTAAAATATATGCCCGGATTTTTAATTTTTTAAAAACCCGGCCCGGTTTTTCACCCGGATTTTGAAAATAATATTCCGAGCCTGCCGATCTCTGATATTTGTAAAACGCCTATTATTTTTTATAATCGGGATTCTGAAAAATTTAATCTTATTTTTTTTAAAAAAAAAGATTTTTAACTTACGAATCTCTTCCAACGACCTCATCAAATATAGACCTAAATTTACATCCGCGCGCAATGATATCTGATATTTATTTGCATACAAATGAATACGCGGAACCTTACGTATTAATCGCTTATCAAATTTTTTCCTATATCTTCGCCATGATATTCGATAAAAATAAAATCGAGCCTTTCGTGTCGGACCAAACTTCCGACACTTACAAAATATTTTTTGACGAATTACGAATGGAGTTAAATGGGAGAATCGGCAAAAAATATTTACACATTCCTTCTACTAGCGTTGAGTCAACTCCTGAGTTTAATAGCAGGTAATAATGTTTTAAATGCCCATCATTATTTCTTTTGGTAGCTATTTACTGGCTAGGGTCTTTTCAAAATTTTTACTGCCAGAACGATGCTTTCCAACCTTTTCTAAGATTGAATTTTAAAAATTGATAATGGCCCTGGCCTAAACTGTACCAAACATTTTTTTAAATAATTTATTATAAATTTTCTCGATAAATAAAATATTACAGTACAAATAAAGCTCTACAAAATGCCAATTTTATCGTTTTCAATGAAAATTTGTCGACATTCTATAGCAACTTGCCTTTATATACGACCATTCATTCAAATTTATTCTTAAATCTAATCTCAAATTTATTGTCTCGGATGAATACGGACACAGAAAGGTTTTTTTTGTGAATGACGTAAAAAAAACTTATATAGTTAACATATTCATAAACTTATTAAAATTTTTGTTTGTAATTTAGAAAAGCCCAAACCCCATATTACTCATACTACATGAGGCAGTGGGTAAAGAATCAATAATAAAAAATTTTTTAGGCGAAATATATAGGGCCATTTTTTTAAAAAAAATAAATAACCCTGCGTTTTTTGGTTGAAATCAAGTAGTTGAAGTAAAGAATATTTTCTTTTTAAATAAATTATAAGCATTATACTTATGGAGCAAAACCCTAGCTAACATGAGCCTTTACCTCCAAATCTGGGAGATGACAGACTTACGCCAAATGGCTGATTAGCAAGAAATAAAAGCTATATTTTTTCTTATTTTTACGCATTTTCCGAATCGATAAAAAGTTATGAAGATTTAACGAAGTATTTAAAATTAGTATTTTCAGCATTGGATTCACCAAAAAGTAAATTGTTGACCTAAAAATAGTTTTTATTTCCTGCTAATCAGCCCTTTGGAGTAAATCTATCATCTCCCTCCAAATTTACTATCTTCACTAGCCCACACCAGACTTAGGCCTTAAATGTGAAATCTTTTCATTCAAAATAATTTTTCAGTATAGGGTTGTATATCAACACTGGTTGTAAGTAACAATTCAAAGTTATAGTCTGGCTCTTAAGAAATATATTTGAAGGAAAAGGACAGAAATCTAAGTTTACATTTTTTTAGCCCAGATCTCTAGGCTGTCATTTTTACTCATTTGATGTGTCGCTTTTTTTCTTCTCATAGTATAAAATATATGACAAAATTATATACTTATGTTTATAAAACAAGGCTTCCTCCAGGATCGAATATTTTGGTGAAAATCGAAAATGATTCTAAAAAGAATATTTATTGGTTATCAATTAAATCTAAATGGCCTAAACAATACCTCGTAATTTGTCCCGTTTCAAAATCCATAAGCTCCTTAACAGCGTCGGAGTTTGAATGCGAAATCAATAATTTTATAAACCGTTTATGAATTATATGTATATATATATACTTATTATTCCCTTTTGTTTATTAAGTTTATTTATAATAAAATATTGATTTAATTTATAACACAATAATGCTTCTTATTTTATAACGTCTAACCAAACGAAATTAAAGTCGGAAGGGAGTTATAACTCTATGTGTCTGCATAGTTTGGTATGTTATTCACATATTATTCTCTAATATATTCCAAGTTAAATTTTTACTTTTTTTTCAAAAAAAAATAATATATTTTTAAAGCTTAGTTCGCCACAATTCTTTCATAATTAAAAAAATATTGTATAAATTCGAATATTATTTTTTTTTATATACATTGTATATATGAGAATGTCAATTAAATGGTAAATTACAAATGTTATAATAATACTTTAATATTTAAAATAATTTGAGCAAAAAACTCGATAAAAATGTCAACAGTACAATAATCGGACTTAAAAATCCTAATTGACTCCATCTCCTTACCGTAAGCTGCAGCGTAATATTATTGTTAGTTGTATCACTGTCGTCATCTAAGTTTAGTCCAAAGGGAGCGCCTAGATAAGCCAAATGAAAAATCGCTAACAACGCGAATGACGTATTTACAATTTTTACGATCCAGTTTTTCTATAAATGCAAATTTTTTTTAATTAAAATTTTTATATAAACTTTTCCGAAAGTGTGTTGACATGATTCTGGGCATTCCTTAGCTTCTACGCATGCGCTAAATCTTTTGCTCAGTAAACGCCTTAACACGAATTCCACGTATGTATAAAAAGCCAAAGACAGCAAAATGGCCGAGATTCTAAAGTTAAAACCCTAAAATATAAAAAAAACAATAAAATAATTTTAAAATGTAATCAAATTATACGTGTAAGAGTGAACTTATGAGGTAGGTTATTATCAATCCTGCGAATGTGCCCAAATAGAGTTTTGATTGAGCGAATACATCTAAAACAAGAATTATAAATTTCAATTTTTTTAAAATTTAATTTAAAAAAATATATTATCGTTTGTTTTACATTTTTTCAACCAAAAACTCATCGGTATATTCCAAGATTGGCAAACATCCACGAGGGAACGAGGATATTCAATTTCAGAAAAATGCGTGACAGAAGTAACCCTTAATATAATAAATTAGGCAGATCATAAATTTTTTCTAACCCGAGATCTTTTTCAAAATGGTAATTTAACGATAATAAGGAAGTCAGCTGTGAACAATAACTTACAAAATAATGGCCGCTTCTAAAAGAGAGTGCTTGAATATAAGCCGTAACCAATCTGTGTTGGAAAAATAGGAATATTATATATCAAAATTGTCACATTCTTTACTTCCTCTGAATAAAACTTATTGAGGTAGAGTATAATACTATGATCTCCATACAACTAGACATTCCAAAAAATATTGCGCAAAGTATGAAGGACTTAATCAAGTAAAGCCAATATTTTCCATTCTTAATCGTTTCCTATTTTGTTTAAACATTTTTTTAAAAAAATATTAATTTATGCTAATTATAACGTAACTGAATTATCATTATTGTTAATTTTAGAGTAAAAAATCGCTTTCATAAAATAAAGAGAAATATTATGCGTCTTAGGCTGAATTCATGGTGGACGTGACGCTATAAAACAGCTGATCGAGTATATAAATTTTTCTATATTAATATTAGGGATAAGAACATTAAGATATAAAAATGGGTTCGGGTTCATTTGAAGAGCATAAGGTGTAATATTAACTCCACATTAATAATATACGCAAAACTTTTTGAATTTGATTTATTTCTTATTTTACTCGATATATGCCATAAATATAATTTCTATTTTAATTTTTATATTTAATCGAAAAATCATAATATGTTCCAAAATATTTTCTAAAATTCCCGCGCGAATTTGACAAAGGAAGATTAGGCACGTTCCGCTAACCTAAATTAACTATAGAAAATATTTAAATTAAAATTGAATATCTAGAATTGTATTTTATTTTACTTGATTACAAGTTCTCAATATTTATAAGTTATATAATTTATGCTGAAAAAATAATTTAAACAAGTTTTTAATATTGATAAATTTTTTTTGCAATTGTTGAATGGAAAATAATTTTATACTAATGCTTTTGTCCATGTGTTAAAATATTTTACGAGAAATCAGACAATGTAGAGAATAAATTAAACTAAAATATATCGCTAAAATTGTCGAGATGAAAATTTAATTAATTATATTATTTGGTTTGTGAAAAATTGGCTTAAAAAGCCAATCTCTCCTGCAGAGTCGTTAAAGTAGCGTTTTTGGTAGCGATAGCTATTAGCGCGCTACAAAAATATAATGAATGTAACTAGAAACATGAAAATTTAAATATAATATCATAATTTTTATGATTTATTATTTAATTTTGGAATTGAAATTTATATTTACAATTTGTAATTAACTTAAATCATCTGGTGTAAATTATTTAAAATGTAATCGCAAATGGATATCGAAATCGATGTAATTGAGTTAGACAATAATAAAATTAATGGAGTGGAAGATACCCTGGAAGAAAATGCTCTTGATAAGAATAATACACATCTATTTTCAAATTAATGTAGAAAAAAGGTGGCTAATAAATTTATTTGTTTAAAATGTAGAAAAAATATATTCTCAAAAAATCTAGTAGGTATAACCTTAAAGAATACCTTTATTTTTAAATTCTAATAGTATTTTCATTTTGTAAGAATGTTCATGCCAATAGTTTTAAAGAGATAGAAAAACATCTTAATAATTTGGGTATAAGGGATACTACATCCAAAAAGATTAATTCAATTCAAACTAAATTGGTTAATAATAATGCACATACCAATATTTCTCAGAAACTGACTGATAAAGTCATTTTCGATTTTATAATTGATATAGTTCGGTCATATCATTGGATGATAATCCATTATTTACCAGGGTGATTAAAACTTTATCCCCTGGTACCAATTTTTTTCAGATACTAATGATTAAGATAACAAATAACTTTGAAGTGATAAAAGATGTTATGATTGATGATGCTAAAGATCAACGTAATAGGCTCATGGTAAAGCTGAAAAGTCTACAAAGATGCTCTAATTAGGACCAAAAAACGATTTCCACTGATAATTTTTTTGAAATAAAGGATACTAATATAATAGAAAATCCCCTAGACGCGTTTTTTAAATCTAAAAATACTCAAATTAGTATTTTTGATAATTTTCCTTATATTAAAAATATGTATATAGAATTAAATACTGCCTTATAGCTTGCGTTTTTTGAAACGTTTTAAATTTTGAAATAGAATGGACAAAATTAACATCTTAATCGTAAGAATAATTATCATTAAATGATACAATAATATTTTTAGGACATAGAACGATGAAATTACCAAAAGGTTTGCAGAAATGGAACCTGATGAAATAATTTGGAATCAAGAACATCCTGACCATAAAAAAAGTCTCATTGTTATGGAACATTTATCAGTTATTGGTTCCAGGCATAAATATATAAGAATATTAGATATAATAATTTAATTAGCTTAGCTTTGGAATTCCCTGGTTTTGATACCAGTGCAGTGCTCTATATCTTAAGAAGAGATTGAGAAACTTCAAGGATCAATTGAACAAGGATAAAATAGGAAAACCTTTAGGCTCTAAAGGAGGAATTCATGAATATAATATAAATACTAAAAATATATAAATTTCATGCAAAAGACTGTTGCAGATAGAGAAGCATCCAGAAATTTTCATGTGGAACCCTCAAAAACAAAAAAACTTCAGGTACTTAATGAATTTAATAGGTTATTAAATGTTTTGGAAGAAAACTGTGATGTAGTAAAGCTTATTTTTATATAGAATTTATCAATATTTTATATGGACCTTTTATAAAAGCCTTGTAGAGGAGGAGGAAAAATAAAATTCAGAAAATCAACTATTATTTAAAACTGAAGGTTTAAAATTTATACATTATTCAAAGGCAAATAATACTTCACCATTGTCATATATGACAATATATGAGGTGATAAATAGAAAGAAAAAAAAATTGGAAATGGGAAAATGACAGACAGACATTTATTATTTTTAGTTAATTTGAATATTATTTTATATACATGAAAATATTAACCGGTTCATTCCGCTGCTTTCCGGATAGAAGATCAATTAACGGGCTACACAATGGTATAGATTTCGATAATTGATCCTCAAGTCGTTCCGCCAGTCAAAATTTACACTTTCTTTATTTTGATATCTCTCTTTTCTTTAATTTTTTTGACACGTTTGAAGAATTCGGAGGATCAATTAAGACATTAAATATTGGCTTTAACTAAAAAATGATTGCTCGAATTTTAAATTTTGGCAAAATGCCAAAACCTTTCTATTTTGCCTATAACTCACGAACGGTTTATTCCGCTGGTATGCGGTTTAAAGATTCTGGAGGATCAATTAACGCTCTACACTTTGGCATAAATTTCGGTAACTCACTTTTAGAAAAAATTCCGCTAACTTCACGTTTTTAAAACCGTTATAACTCGGTTATGGTTAGTGATACGGATATGCGGTTTGCAGATTATTAATGTACACATTGAATACTACATTATTGCCAAGTTTCAGATCATGATCTTTTTTATTTTCGGTTTTGGCAAAGTGCCAACACTTTTTTATTTTGCCCATAACTCATGAACGGTTCATTCCGCTGCTTTCTAGATAGAAGATCAATTAACGAGCTACACAATGGTATAGGTTTCGTAATTGATCCTCAAATTGTTCCGCTAGCTTCAAAATTTCACACTTTCCTTATTTTGCTTATAACCCATTAACCATTGATTCCGCTGATGTTTGGTTTGAAGATCAATTAGAATCAATTAAGACTCTAAATATTGGCATATGTTTTGTTAATTGATCCTCACATCGTTCCGCCAATTTCACGGACTTGGCCACCAATATTTTAAAAAGGTCAAATACTAAATACTTTAACTGTCAAAACGCTAAATATATTTTAAATGTTAATACTAAATATTAATGTAAAAATTATATTGTTTTTAATTAATGTTTATCAAAGTCAAATATGTTCTTACTTGATACCTTTGTTCTATATATTTTCCTTTTTTTTACAAGAAACCAGAAATGTATGACTGACTTTATTTTTTATTTTTTAACTACTATATATATTTCTACAATAAATAATATAATAATACACTTATAAATAAACAAAACAATTATCTATTTATTATTTTTTTTCTAATATTATATATTTTTTCTTTCTCCTTTTTTTCCCCTATAATATTACAATAAATAACAATTATCAATTTATTTTTTTTATAACTAATATTTTTCCATCAATATTTCATCTAATAATAAATACAATTATCGATTTGTTTCTCTTTGCTATAACTAATATATATCCACTAAATATTTTTTCTCCCCACTACGACACGCCATCCCCTATATGATCATTCCTCCGCCCCCTCCAGATCAGGGCCTAATACTAACTCTAATTCTGCATCACCCACTTGGCACTGAAGCCATAATTCCTCTTGCCTTGCCTTTGCCGCCGCCACCATTCCTGATACCTCTTACCTTGTCTCCGCCGCCACCATTCCTGATTCCTATTGCTTTGTCTCCGCCGTCACGCTTTGACTTTCTTAACCTTTGCGTTACATATTTTTCTTTAGAAATTAAAGGGAGTTTTTGTATTAAAATAATCAAGTAAAGTGGGAGGTTTGGAGGAAAAGAGAGGAGTATGGGGGGGGGGGGGGTCTAAAAATAATTGTGAGAAATTCCTGTCGAATAAAATAAGGTATGGGGGTCATGGGCATTAAATGAATTATTACAAGTGATATTACATAAGTAAGCTAGTTTAGAAATAAAATATGGACTGTGTTACTGGACCAGGGAGATAAGGAAATCGGGGTGGGAATGTAATATATATATATGTCCACGTACCAATAATTAAGGAATAGGGCATGCAGCATCTGTGGATATTTAGGGATTTCGAGGTGTACGTTACGGTGAGGCCCAATAGAAGACCGGACTGTTGGGAGAGAATAGGGATATTCGGGCAGGAAGCGTCGTGGCGTGTAGAAAGACGGAGATGCTACGGTTGTCGCAGGGAGGGGGCACCTCGCTAACCAGTGGTCTCATTTGGCTGGAGTGGGGCAAACGTGGGAGCAGGCAGTCTGGGAGAATGAGCAAGTAGGCGACAGCTTGCAGACGACGGGTGAGATACCAAGACGGGTAGGGGAAATCAAGTGGCCTAAAGAAGAGCGAGGCGTTGGAGAATGAGATGCGGAGACAAGGCAAGAGGAATCAGGAATGGTGGCGGCGGAGACAAGGCAAGAGGTATCAGGAATGGTGGCGGCGGAGGCAAGGCAAGAGGAATCAAGAATGGTGGAAAAATATTTGACACCCGAGTTCATGGATTGGCTTCAGTGCCAAGTGAGTGATGCAGAATTAGAGTTAAAATTAGGCCCCGATCTAGA